TCTCTCTCTCTCTCTCTCTCTCTCTCTCTCTCTCAAAAACAATTTTAACATTAATTATTTGTATCCAAACCCGACTATAACTACACTCAAACTCCTATATACCAGGTTCTAGACGCGGGTGAGATCATGGAGTTTGACGAGCCGTACGCTTTGCTGCAACGAAAGGGCCATTTCTACGACATGTGCCGTAAAACGGGTTCAGAAATGTTTAACCATTTGTTAAATCTGGCGAAAGCCGTACATAACAAACGGGCCAATGCTATGTAAATGTATGATTGCATTTCATCTCAACATATTTGCTTAAATATAATATTTTCAGTTTTATTTTTAAAATCCATAAAATTAAGTTTTAATTAGCTGTATCTTGATACTTTTGTATATTATATGAAAATATGTTAAATATATTCAAAATAAATATGATACCTGTATAAGGGAATACAAATATAAATTAATGTACATTTATTTAAATTTTTGTAAAATAGAAATAAAATAAATAATAAAAATATTAAAACAATAATTATAAAATAAATTATTTTGTTTAATATTAAACTGGTCACTATGGTGGCCAACAATAGTAGAAATGTGCCATGGTCATTTAATAATTTTGGACAAACCCTCGATATAATTGTCAATAATTTGTGGCAATTTTTCCAAACTATTGTTTGATTGAATTCTTTGCGAAATGTTTGCCAACTTTTCAGTCAACTCGTTGTCATTCAACAGCCGCTCGACTGCGGCCAACAGTTCAGCCTCCGAGCACTGGTATGGGTCCAGACGTATGCCGAGTCCCCGATCCTGTATAGCCTGTGCGAAGTCAAATTGATTGCCCATAACAGGCATTACAATTATAGGCTTACCATGGTAGAAACACTCGCATAGGGTATTGCATCCGCCATGGGATACGACCAGATCAACGAGCGGTATGACACGTCTCTGTGGCAACCACTCCGCGCCCCACATATTGTCGGCCAGAGTATAGTCGCTGTGTTTGACACCCATAGACACCACCACCCGATGGGGCGCCACTTTGGCCAACATGTTTACCAATCGGCGCATAGTGTGCACGTCGTCCGACACCAGTGTTCCCATCGATAGGTATATCAGTTTACCTAATGGTGTCCCAGAAGTTGACATCCAATGTGCCGGTAGTTGAAAGTCATTGGCCGCCACTTCGTTGTCTGCGGGCATCAAGTGATCGACTCTATAGTAATTATCTCCGGGAAGGGGTCGACAGTCAGTGTAGTCGAGTTCGACGGGAGTGTAGTATAGGTTTAGTTGATTCATAGGGTTTGCGGTGACAAACGTGTTGTCACTAAAAGGTTGACAATAACCGCGCGATTGAAAGTATTGCTGAAACGCTTGCAATGATTGACTCGACTCGTGTCGCACAGCCGACCGAAACTCACGCCATAATTGTTTGTCACCCGTAATCGACAGACCTTTTAATTGAGAATCAAATGTGTTGTTCAGGTCTACACAGACTGACTGACAGACAGACAGACAGACAGACACATACCTGAAGCGTGTGGAGGAGTGCTCTCGTCATCCAACATACATATAGGACCTACAAATGACAACAAATTGCATGACCAGCTGTTAATGTTATTATTACTATAGCAGTCTACTATTGACCCATTCAATGGTTTTGCTTAAGATCATAGAATATACACATGTACTCTACATGGTCATAGACTTACCATCAGCCTCATGTCAAAGTAAAGTCATTATCTTAAGAGAGGGAGGGGTCGAACGATTCTATAAACCACATTATTCATATGTGAATTGTGGTTACAAATTCAATGTACAAACTCACCTAAACTCCATAGACACACGACGGGCACACCGGCCATTCGGACCGAAGGCAACTCAAGCAACGAATCCATTACAATCAAGTCGGGCCGCACGCGCACTATGAGTGCTTCAATCGTTGCGTCGAGACGCTGGGCGTTGGCCAGTCGTAAACGGGTAGCAAAGGCCAATACCCGGGCCCGAGCGGTGACCGATTCGCCGGCTTCGGTCACTTCACGCCATTTGGGCACCACTTTAGCGGCCGTCTTGTCGTCATACTCCTCGTCGACCACAACCTCCTCTATGCCGGAGCAGTACTGCCCCAGTCTTCCCGACCATTTGCTACTTATCGCGTACACCACTCGCCGGTAGCGACCGCTGGCCCACAGGCTCTGGGCGATGGCCACACACGACATCACGTGTCCAAAACTGGCCATCGAAACGATAAGTGCAGTCAAATCGTCACACATTTTGTGATCATTTATAATAATAAATGAATGATTGCTTATTCCGTATCTACCTTTTAAAAATGTAATTATCTTGCACAAATATATTGTAAGAATAACAATGATTAGGAAATTATTGTGCTTGCCTAATAAAATAGCCATGTATAAATGTCATATAATAACTTTATTAGAATTACATATGTAAAGGTATAGCCAACTGAAACCCTCCGCTCAAACCCTATGGCAATTCGGGATCGGAATTGTAAAAATAAACTAAATTTTGTGTTTGTTTTAAATATATTTGTTAAAAAAATTAAATCACATTTGCATTGATAAATTTAAGAACGGAATAATTAATATCGAGTTAAAGTACATTTATCTAATAATTTAAATTGTCATTCAAGTGAAAAATAATGAAAACAATCCTTATTTACTGTAATGACATTATCTTATCCAATATTTTAATTGCTAACTATAATTACTAAATTACTAAATTATATTGTATGTTTTTAAATTACATTTAATAGTAATTTAATTTTAATATTTCTGAAACAATTATCAAAACATATATATGAAATTAAGATTAGCATTAATTTTATTTAGTTGACTTGGAATGATGCATAACACTACCATGTCCATTTACTTGACACGTCTTTAAAAAGTGCATCTCTTGGAGGAACACCTCTAGGGTGACCAACTATCGACAAGGTATATTTGGAAAAAAATTAACAAAAGAATTAAATGATTGTGTTTTACTAAAATATTTGCCAATATTTAAACATTTATCTATATTTAAATGTAAAATAATTATACATTTCAAAAATGTTATTATTTACTATAATTTTAATTTAACAATAAAGTTTACATATTAAACAATTATATTTGCCTTTAGACAAATACATGTATGTCTTGGTTATTGATTGGATTAAGATCAAATTTTTCTATTTATCTACCATCTACATTCTAATGTAAAATCAAGTAAAATACAGCTATATTTTGGTACTAATAACTAATCAGCCTCACGGGCCTCAACGCCTACGTACAACGATTTGGGCAATATTAGGATCGGGTGACTGGCCTGTGGGGGCCGGACGTTGGTCTCCGGGCACCGTACAAACCGATACCGGCGCACAATATGGGCCAACGCGTACTTCGCCTCCATTAGTGCGAAACGCATTCCCACGCAATATCGCGGGCCCACACCAAACGGCAGGTACGTATAGGGCGTCAGTTTTGACCGGTTTTCGGGCATAAAGCGCTCCGGTAGGAAGCGGTTCGGCTCCGGGTAGTACTCGTCCATGTGATGCATAGCATAGGTGGGTATCTGTATCTCTTGACCGGCTCTGACGGTCACATTAGTCCCCGGGAGCCGATAGTCGGCGGCCGCGTATCGGCGCAGTCGCAGCGGTGACGCGTGCAGACGCATCGACTCGGACAGCACGGCGTCCAGGAATGGTAGAGTGGCCAACACGTCGTACGCAATTTCCGAGTTGGCGTCCGGTATGACCGCTCGTAGCTCGTCGTACAGGCGCTGCTGATTGTGGGGACTCAGCGCCAACTCCATCGTACAGTAGGCCAGTGTTAGCCCCAACTGCTCGTAAGCGGCGAGAAAGAAAAACAGCGAATTGCCTATGATTTCCGTTTCGCTCAGTGGGCTCGACCTGTCCTGCATTGTCAGCACCTTTTTCTCGGCCATAGAGTGTTCGTCACCTTTGGATTACAAGTGAATCTTGTTAATCATTTTGTTAACAATTAGCCTCTCTCTCACACATTTAATTTAATAATAAGTTCATTAATAAGTTGCAATATCTAGCAATTGTTATTAATCGCTATATTTAAAAAATGCAGCACAACTTAACCTTCACTAATATGGTGTCCTTCGTATGATTTGCTTTCATCACTTTTGTCATCACCGGCGGCAGTGGCCGTCACGCGACTGGTCATCGGTCGAGCCGTAAGCATTTGACTGATAAAATCCTGGCGACTCTCGCGTCGGCGGCGGTCCACCAGTTGTCGGATCAGTTCAATGAGTTTATTCATAGTGTTGTCGTCGCGGAACGTGTTAACGCCCAGCGCCGAGAGTACGGGTCGCGGCACGAGTCCGGCCAACACTATCTTCAGGCCCGATATGTTGGCCAACTGGTGGGCGGTGTGGACGAGTGGTTCGTCGGGCCGGAGCTTGGCGTTGGTCTCTACACCCCAGGCGGCCGCCGCTATCGTGTCCATAGCGTACCACAGATACGCCTCGTAGACGTCTAACGAACCGCCACCCGGCGTCGCCGCCGACTCGGCCAGAGTGGCCATCAGTTGCCGCAAACAGTGGCCGATAAGTGGATACGTGCGACGCATGCGCCCTGAGGTGAACATCGGCGACACTGTGGAGCGCATGCGCCGCCACTGGTGACCGCCCGCTATGGACAGGTTCTCGCTGCCGATGGGGTGCCGGGCGTTGGTCGGCAGCGGCCGGTCAGTGAACAGGTGAAAGTCTTTCACCAGTATATGTTTGATGACCGCCGGGTCGGCCACCTGTAGTAGCGTACGGTTGCCCTCGAATACTCTGGTGGTCATTAAAAATTATTTATGTAATTATCTAGTTTATATTCTGATTAATTTCAAAATTAATTAAGGGCGAGTTTGGTCTCTATATAGTGTCCAATTTAAATATTGCTATTATGATTAAAGTGATAGTGCTTTTAGAAGTATTAGTGTTAAAGAAAAAATGACCTTATAGAGTTAATATGTTTATCTCGAATTAACCCTTTAATACGTTTAACTTTTTTTTAAAAACAATTACTTTTATTCCAGAGTTAACCATGGATTAATTTACCATGATTACTGTTAAAATAATTTTTAAATAAACTATACTGTAAAGAACAAAACTTTAAAAACTAAAAGAATTTACAGAGTACTTGCTTTCTACTGTAGATGACAAAATAATAAAATTGTTTCAATGTAAATAGGTTAATATTTTTGATTGTCATGTTGTAAAATACTGTACACTTGTTTTTGTACAGCTAACAAAGCTAACATTTCGTAATTACAGACATATTTACAATTAAAATTTACGAAATTCAATAATAACATGCTACTACTTAATTACCGTAATATAATAAGCTTTATACGCATAAATAAACTGTAATTACCCAAATATTTTGCCGTATTTTTTAAGCCTCCGTATCTCTAAATCATCTCGATTAAAAAACAACTGCTCCCATGAGTTGCCCAACAGTGGTATGGGCTTCGGTCCAGTGATGCCTTGTTTGGTGAAATAGTCGAAATTGCGCGTAAAGTACCTTGATAAATAGAAAATTATTAACTGTTATCATGTTAAGCTAACTAAAAATAACATAGATACAGTAATATATTTGTACACTTCACCAAACTTACCGATAAATTAATATTACAATTACAAACATTATTAGCCCGTAGGCTAAACACTGGTCTGACAACCAATTCAAGCTCATCGTAGTAGTAATTAAATCTATTATGATAAAAGTCTTATTTAGTAAATGTTAATTTTGCAAGTTACTTTAATAATTAATAATGCTTTCTAATATATGGTAGTCGAATAGTAACATAATTATATTAATATTAAATAATTGCAATATAATTTACAAGAAAAACGATGATTAAGCAAGTAAACATAAAACTTATTTTAATGTAAAATATATTTTTAATAATATCTAGTTTTATACCACAAATACTGGAACTTATTCTTTAAAAATTATATTGTAAACTTTGCAGAATAACTTGTTGTTTACAGTTTAAATCAAAATAATACCAATCATTAGATTATCTAGGTTTTAATCGAAATATGATGTTGGTGTTTATTATAAATCCTGTATTGTGAAGGATATTCAAAAATTACCACATTTCCAATGCGTTGCGCTAATAACAAAAAACACGATCGCTTTTAATCATATAATTTGATTATAATAGCAATATTTGAATCATAATTTAAAATTATTTTAATATTAATTAAATCAATTAATTGCTAATTAAAATTACAAAAGTTTTATATTATAAAATTAAGTTAAAAATCACACAAAAAAGATAAAAATCAAAACACAATATATGAGCGGAAAATACATGAGCACAGGTAGGCTGACAACAACCCCTAACGATCCACTTCACCGAACACTATATCTAAACTGCCAATAATGGCCACTAAGTCGGCCAACAGTAGAGTACGGCTCATGTAGTCGAGTGCGGACAAGTGAGCAAATCCGGGCGCTTTGATTTTGCACCGATAGGGTCGGGACGAGCCGTCGGACACCATATACAGACCAAACTCGCCCTTCGGTGCCTCAATGGCCGTATATGTGGCGCCTGCGGGCACACTATAGCCCTCCGTAAACAGTTTGAAGTGATGTATCAACGCTTCCATCGATGACTTCATTTCCGCACGAGTCGGAGGAACCACTTTGTTATCATCGGTGCGGACCTCTC